CCCTCCCCTCTCCTTCCTTCCTTCCTTCCTTCCTTCCTTCCTTCCTTCCTTCCTTCCTTCCTTCCTTCCTTCCTTCCATTCGTGGCGAACGTCCGGGGTCCACCTGGCGAGTCGGCAAGCTTTGCCTGGCTACCGGAGCCGCGTTGTCCACGACAACCCTTTAAAGCAAGAGGCACACAGAATGCAGTGACGCCGTCCCGAAGGACCAAGCACTTCAACGACCCGGGCCGTGGCCCAGCAGTCTCTGCACCCATGCACCAGCACATTAACACGCTGCACAGTGTTGCTTATATCCACAGAATCTCCCACTTGAGAGACAGCAGAGTCCAAGAATGAAAATTGAAAGATGCTACGAGTTTCTACATAGCAAGCTGTACGGAAAGAAAACGGCCCTCATCACAGCGCTCGGATCAGTGCCCTCGAATGGAGCTGCTTGCATGACCTCAGGCAACCCATGCCATAAAGCAATCCTGAGACTCGGGAATGCTGAAAGAAGAAAAGGCCACATTTCGCTCGGTCTAGTCCTCTCAGGCCTCAGTCAACAACTTTGCAACATCTATGGCTGCCCATTCTCATCACATCGGAGCCACAAAGACTCAGGCTTCGCCAAGCACTGTCTGTGAGCCTGCGATATTGCCCAATATGATGCGCAATACGAAGCAGCCGTGTCCCACTCCAAGGAAGCGTTGCATGCAGTCTATGAGGCTCGAAGGAGGTCACCTCTTGAAGCGACAGCATGTGCCCCTGTGCCATGTTGAGGGTTAGGGAGCAGGTCGTGAGCTTGTGCTCTGGGTTCCATGTATGAACAATGCTGGCCAAAACTCTGGTTGTCCACGGAAAATATTTGAGTTATTTGTCATACCTGCTTGGCTACCAAAGTTCCAGGCGCCAGTGGTAAACCGAGACGGGGCAAACTCTGGATCCTCAACGCCCCAAGTCGGATTCCACCTTATACGCTTGTCCGATGGCAGCCAGCTACACAACCGTTGCAGTTGCGTCCACGTTGTCTGCCCATGCACAACCATGGAAAAAGCTAGGCGTTCAACCCGACAGGAGTCAGGAACACTGAGGCCCCGAACATCGACATCCCTGACCAGGTAAATGTGTTGCGCTGCGAAAGCATAGCGCAAATCGGCTTCAGTAGAAGACAGCGGATATACCCCTGCCATGTAGATGCCTCCAAGGGTGAAGCATCGGGAGGCTCCTAGGGGACACACCGGCTCCGCTAGCGCAGGTCCTTCTTCCTCATCAGAGCTGATTTGCAAGGCCACTGGCAGCGGCACAGTCACAGCCTGCTGTGCATTTGCACTGGAAGCTGCAGGGTCACTCGCACTTTGAGAAGATCCCCGGGAAATAAAGTAGTGATCCAGTGTTCTTTTTCCGGGCCGATTACGACTGCGATCCTGCATGGCGCCTGCTATAAGCGAACAAAGAGAACTGCACTCCGTGCCTCGCCTCCAGAGCCCAGCAAAGCACCAAGCAAATTTAAGAGCAAGGCCACTGCAGCTCAGGACACATAAGCTCAGGCCACCGAACACCCACTTTGTAAAGAGCTCTCCGAAGTTAAGGCCACGACGATAGCCAGCCCTCTGCACTCTCCATGAACCATCACCACACAGGGAAAAGAAGCAAGTACCTTAGTCGACAACTGCTGAGGTGGAAAAGATCTCCCGGGCCACTGCCACGCAGAGACACGCACATGTCGAGGTATTTTGCACCAGCCGGTCACTGCTCAGAGCCTCGAGACTCGAGACGGAGCTTGCGATGTGCCTCCATCTCCCCAATCTTATACGCCCCTCATACCATCACATGATTCAGCATGAGCCCCGCAGCGAACTGCCAAGCAGGCTCCCGGTACAGAACTCTTGCCTCCACAAAACAACTGCTGAAAGCATGAAAATGAGCTGGGCCAAAAAGCCGCATGCTGCAGGCGTTGCCTTTGCGACAGTTCCATGTCGCCAGACATAGCTCAGCCCCTGATGGTCGCCGCCAGGCTGTTGGCCAGGGCCGAACGCATAGGCCTGTCCGCCTTGAGCTGCGTCGCCACAAGCTGCAGCACCGAGTTGTGACACAAGGCCTGCAGACCATTCCTGAGATTCACCGAGGAGTCCGTGGCGGCGCCCACCTGGATCAAGAACACGACATTGTCGCCCTGCATATGAGAGGCCGGGTGGGGTGGAAGCGGGCCAGGCTATTGTTGGCAACCACATTGGCCAACAAAGTGTCCACCTGCTCAAGGATTTCGGCAGTCCGGAGCGGCGGCTTGTCCGTGTCAACAACATTTCGTTGATTGCCCTGATCCCACTTCAAGCAGGCCCAGGTCATGGGAGGGCCCGGATTGAGCCAGCCCATCGCCGCCATCTTTTCCACATCATCAGGCTTTTGCTCCAAGCCAGTGAGGCGGGCAGCTCAGCAAAGAAACAGACAAAGAGTGAGGTCCTCATGGGCCGATCCAGCTTCGCCGGCTCGCTCTCCTTGAGCTTTCTCCATCCATCCGCAGCCACATACAGCATCGCAACCACTGAGGCAGGCACGCCGATCTTCATGTGGGCCACGAAGCTGTACTCCAACTTCAACAGATTGATGGAGTCCTCGTGTCGCAGGGCCAGCCGTTGCAACATGCCCAGCACCTTGTGCACTTCCTGCATGTCAGTCGAAGAGGCAGCAGCACCATCCTTGGCTGAGAACCAATCATCACGCCATTCATCTTTCTTCCATCCACCAGTGCGCCCCCAGGGCTGGTAGTTGCGCTTCATGCCCTGATGAGCTCCACCTCCATTGCCATTTCCACCGCCATCCTTGGAGCCACTGGCCTGTCCCTCGCGGCCTTTGCCACGACCACCATTCCCCTTGGGGTCAGCAAAGCACGGGGCCTTGGAATCGCGCTCCTCGACCGTGGTGGCGTCCGAAAGCGCCGTGGGAGTGCCCGGTCGAAGTTGTATGCCCGCCGGCATGTATTGCTGGAAAAAGGACCACTCCTCAGATCCCTCCATATACGAGTCGGGGAAGCTCATGGTATCCAGCAGCCGGGGAGCGACCTCAAGGGTCGCTATAGCGGGCGATCAAGGGAAAAGGCTGAGCCGCCTGCTTCTTGAGCCGGCACCAGCCACAAAAGATACATCAAAGCTTCGCGATCTGCACTCCAAAGAGCAGGAGCTGCAACAATGCTGTCGTCCGAGTGCAACCAGCCATCAGAGGTTTTGAGGAGCGAACGATAATGTCCCGAGACGACGCTCTTGCCGTGATGCTCAACAACTGACACAACCTTGTGCGGCCGCCACTCGACACTGACACCCTCGACAAAGAAAGGAATACGGACAGTCGCCTCCAGGAAGACTCGAGTGCAGTTTTTGGCCGCCTCCTCATTGCGAACAATGTGTAGTAGGAGAGGCCCGGGCCTGCATGACGACCGCATGAACAAGCCCTGCGAAGACCAGTCATGCACTCATGCCTGAAGAGAGCATGCCTCGGTCCGGAGCTTCAGGGAGATGGGCTGAAAGCCAGTGTGAGGAACCTGAATCCCAGCAGGATCAGCGTATCTTGCCTCCCACACCAAAGTCTCTTCAACCTCTCGCAAGGACCAACGAGAACTCCAAAGCATCATGCTGACGATCGTCAAAAGTCCAATGTCTGAGAAGAGAACAGACCACAAGCTGAGAGGCTAGCTCCTGCCTGAGCGCACGAACCGCAAGTAGCTTAAACATCGAAGTGCACTTGCCCGAGTGATGCCTAGAGCTCTTCGCCGGACTCCCACAGTAGACACAAGGCCGGCTGAAGGTGGCCCACAAACTCTTGGAGCCTGCAATCGCACCAGAGGAGACACGATCCCATTCATGGATATGAGTTCGCTGCCAATGATTCTTCATCTTGCTCAATCCGCGACGAGTTGCCTGCACAATGTACAATGCGTGGCAGACGCCCTCCATGGGTCCCGAGTTCCTGGGGTGTGACCGGCAGAGCATCTTCAATCTTCTCGATCAAGGTCTTCTGAGGGACCGCTTTCGGCGGCGCCACCGGCGCAGCTGCAGTCTTCTCCGCTCTCTCCACAGCCTGGAGCATAGCAGACTCACTCATCCCCTGGGCCACCAGTTCCTTGATTCTGGGGCAGGTACCCTCTGTGATGTGCTTCTCAAGCGAGCACCAATCGAATAGCCGAACCTGGCAGAATCGACAAATGGGCAGCCCATGCAATGCATGAAGATCACGTCGAAAATGGAGCCTTGCTTTCTCGTTCACCTCCGGGCGCTTGTGCTTCATGTGCATCTGGAGGCTGGCCTGTGAGTCGTAGTAGACACCGCACACTGGACAGGCAACCGACACTGCCTCGACTCTCGGCACCCGCACCAAGGTGGTCAGTATCGATGAGGAAGTGTCCTCAAACTGGAGCAAGCATTGATGTACCCGATAACAGTGCTTGCTCTCCTGCACCTTGATGCGCTCGGCTCGCCTGCGGTCTGAGAGAATGGATTCCCCTTTGCTCACAGCCTGCAACCGGAAGAAGGCATGCGGATCCAGCCCTGCTTTCTCGAGCACAGTCTTGTTACTTATGCCCTCCTCGTGAATCCTGAGAACCTTGCGCAACTGAACAGCGAGAAGCGAGCAGACTCCTTTAAGAACATCAGTCGTCACCCCTACACTGACCAGCGAGTACCACAGAGTAGGCCAAATAATGGCTTTGTATAGGCGAAGCCGATGTCTGCAGGTGATCGCCCCATCCGTGCGCAGGACCCGCCGAAGCTCCTGAAAACGCGACTTTGCTTGGGCAGCTCGTGTTTTGAAGGTCTGCAGCTCAAAGTTGTCATACGACAGTTCAGCGCCAAGGTATGGCATCGAGCTCTGGCATGGGATGTAAATGTCATTGTTGTTGTGTGCCCCCCAAAGACGAAGAAGCTGAACTCCCTCCCGCCACACCAAGAGATGCTTGCAAGCTTGAACAACCGCCTTGCCACATAACTTCAACACCACCACAGACTTCTGACAATTCACCTCCATGCCTAATGATTGCAGTGTCTCAATGAGAGCATAAAGATCACGTACTGCCCTTTTCAAGGCTTGAACCGTGCGTATCTCCCAGCACGAGAAAATATCATCAGCAAAAAGAGTGCTATGGTTGGCCATCCAGTCCCTGTCGAGCCGTTGATCAACTAGTCCACAAAGACGACAGGACCAAGCAGCATACACGATTGGAGCAATGGGACAGCCCTGCCTCAAGCCCCGTGACATACACACCACCCTTTCCACTCCCCCATGACGCACAACACATCTCATGTGAGCTTGCGCAATGACACCCGCAAGAGGGGAAGGAACACCCGCCACAGTCAGTGAAAGAAGAATCTCTGAGTGCGGCAGAGCATCGAAGGCTTTGTGCAGGTCCAACCCGCACATCATTCCCCCAACCACCGGGACATCAGCGTCCCCAAGGAGCTTGGCAGTGTGATCTTTGCGATGCTGACGCAAAAGAGCCCGAATATCAAAGCAGTGCCCAGCAGCTCTCAAAAGAGCATCCGCAGTGGAGGCGCCTTTTCGATACGCATACTGAGGAAATTCCCGAAGCAGCCGTTCGATATACGGAGAAGCAGCTTCACGCAGGACCAAGAGAAAGGCTTTGGTATCGGCAGGCATTAAACCTATAGAGCGAAGATTGCGCGGGTGAAAGGGGGTTTTTCCCGCCTTCGCAAGCCAAGCAAGCTGAACTTCAGTCCATTCCTCTGGGATGCTGGGGTTCGGGCCGCACAGCGATTTCACAGCAATCTCACGCAGAGCCCCCGAGGTGAGCGGGGCCACGTTCTTCCACTGCTGCACTGATGGAGCATCCTGCGGGACTGCCTTCCCCGAGCGCAATTGTGAAAATGACCTCTCCCATATCTCAGCATCAAACACTGCCGGGTCAAGGGGCTCCAAAACAATGGATGGAACATCATTATGACGCTTGGCAGCAAACAATTCGGCAGCATAGTCTGCAAGCATGCAACACTCGTCTCTAGGATGCATAAGCTGGCCTGACTCACTGCGAAGCCGAATCGAGCGTTGAACAGTCTTCGGGGCCAGCCACCGCACACATTGAAACAGCCCTTTGCTGTCCCCTGTCCGCGTCGCTTGCTCTGCCAACCAGAGTGTCTCCAGAAGCTGCTGCCGTTTCCGAGCTCTAATTTGGGCCTGCAATTCCCTGTGTCGCCTCTGGAGCTGAAGAACCAGTCGCATGCGAACAAAAGCATCCCTCATCGTGAACACCTGTTGCTTGGCCAGCATTCTACCAGCCTCCCAGAAGGTAATGATCTCCCCATCAATCCCCTGAACCCCTGGACGAACAAGTTGTCTGCGGTCCTGCTCAGGCTGCTGCTCGACTTCTCCCCGAAGAGCGGCAAGCGGCGTCGCCATCTGCAACTCCATCCCCTTTTTTGGCCCCTGCTGCCGTCGAGTGTTATTGGTCTTGATGCGCCAGGGCTGCCATTGCGGCGGTATCGAAGCCCGCAGAATCTTGTGACCAGAAGACCGCCAACCAGCTACTGGGGGCTCCTGAGGGACACAGGCCTTGGCAACATGATCTGCAAGAGGAGCCCTAGCAAAAATCCAGTCAATCTGAGACCGCCCAGAGGGGTGTGTGTAGGTACAAAGCTTCTTGGACCAGGAGTGAGAGCAGTCATCTGGTGCGATGCAAACATTCCAGACAACCATTTACGCTCCTCGACAACTTCGGCCTTGGCCTTGTTCTGCACCACTCCATAACCAATGCAGGGCACTACCGTATTCAGGTTGGAGTTGAAGTCCCCAGTAATGACAACCGAGGAGCGGACAGGCATGGATCTCAGCAGGACATCCAGTTTGGTCCACAGTTGCTTGCGCTTGCCCATAGTGGCAGTCAGTGCATCAGACTCAAAAGGAAGAGCATGCTGATAAAGACATATAAAATCCATGTGTTGGTCCCTCGAAAAATAGCGCGCATGCAGAAGTCTGCCCGGATGCAATTCTTGCCACCTCAAGGAGCCTCGATCGCAGAACCCATCACGGAAGCCCAGCAGCACCCCACCTTGATGAGGCTTGGAGACAGCGCTATGAACAAAGGTCCAGCCCTCCGCCACCCATTCACTCTGAAAAGCCCGATGAGTTTCCTGCAAGCTGATAACCTGAATCTCCGGGCGTTGTTTTGCTCAAACAACAACTGCGTCAATCCACTACAATTCCAGGACAGAACATGCAAGCGCGGCTGTGCTCTCGGCGGCTGCGCGTCTGCCGGCACATACGGGCATGCCGGATTGTGCAGTATACGTCTGCGCTTGTAGGTTGCATCTTTCCCTTGCTGCGCCCTCCTGATTGCTCGGCGCAGCGACCTCTTCTTGACCCTGCTCATACAAACACTTGCAGCGGTAAACGAGCCGACTATATGCTCCCTCCTCTTCGCCGAAGCTCCAGACGGACCGGAGGGTGAGCCGCCAACCCTCACGCCAGGGGACCTTTGTGGAACACCATCATCCACAGCTGTACCTGTCCCCTCCCGGAATTGGGACCGGGTCGAGCGAGCACCTCCAAGTAAAGGAAAGAATGTTGTTGTTGGCGAAAAACTGGTGTATTCTGCAGACGCCTTGGTCATCTCTAGCTTGGAGGATTCATTGTCTGGGCACGTGGCCAGGCCGAAGAACAGTTGTACTCCCATCCGCAGAGTATTCCTCAAAAGAAAGTAGTTGTTCCGGATAATTCACGGCACAAAAGGCCTGCAGCTGCTGCACACAAGGACTAGGAAACCACGCCACAACGTCTCTGATCACGCAGTCCGCTGAGGCTCCACTCCAGTAAGCCCTCAACAGATCAATGCAGTAGATCTTTGTGGACTCAGCAACACACTGCACAAGAAAGTGATCCAGCAATATGTCCCCTGCTGCAGCCTTCAGATGCACACTCGAAGTCAGTTCGGCACCGGCCATGTACCCTCCCCGCGCTTGAACCGCTCGTGGCGCTTTACT